GGGAGGAGAGGAGAGGAGGAGAGGGCGAGCCACCAACCCCACAGCCCCAACCCAGTGCCACTGAGAGGATCCCACTGACACAGGGCGCCCCGGGGGCCTGGGCGAGCAGCCCCGTAGGGTTTCCAGGCTATGCGTCTTGAGGGGAGCAGGAGGAGCTGCTGGTGGGCTTGCATCACCAGCCCTTGGTCCAAGAGCTGACCGTGTCAGCCAGTGGCACCAGGGCTCCCGGGACGGCACAGTCCCAAGGACCCTCAAGCCCACCAGAATGCCAGTGGGACTTCAGGACACAGGCCCTGAAGCAGCATAAGACCCACCTCATCAGCCCCATGGTGACACCCTGTGGGCTCCCTCTCCACAGTGGGGACCCTCACCCTCAGCACAGCATGGGTCCCAAAGTAAGCCACTGGGAGGCACCCGCCCGAGGGCCGTGCATGGGAGCCTGGCGAGCAGAGGCCGTCTGTGCAGAGCATGCTCACAGTGCCCCTGCCATTAGTACTAATTACTTTCCAAAGGCTGGCAGCTCGGCCCTCCTCCAGACTCGTCCCAGCAGCCAGCCCCAGCACACGGGTGGGAGGCCTGGTGCCTGGGGAGCCCCTGCCTCCCAAGACCTCCGTGGTGACCACCAGGGCCTGGAGCTGCAGAGCCGTGGAGCCCTCCCACACAGGCCAGGGGGCAGAGGGAGAAAGCCGAGGGGCCCTCTGTCAGAACACTTCGGAGGACGGAGCTCTGGGAGCAGCATCTTGAATTCATGGCCCTCGCTTGTGTCTGGGCTGCTGAATTCAATGAATAATCTCAAATCAGCCCACAGACGCAGCAGGGCATCATCTGCACACGTCGAGTCTTCAGGCATCCTCTTACGCTGTTGTAGAGAACCCTGGGAGGGGTGGGGTGGGGGAGGCTTCAGGGACGGTGGAGGCCCCTGGCCGGTACTGGACCATGGGCTGCCTGGGATGAGAAATGTTGGGCGCAGGTGTTCAGGGACACTGGCCTTTGCATCACACCAGCGTGTGAGATCCCCAACCTGGGGACAGATTCATCTGGGGGTGTTGAACTCACCAACTGGTTTTACCTGCAGTAGGGTCAGGAGATGGGAAAGAAAGGGGGCAGGTCCTTCTCACAGAGCATTTCGGGTCCAAGAGGAGGACCTGAACCGTTGGAAAGAGCCATAGCACAAGGGTGCTCATTCTGGTGTTACTGAGAATAGAGGAGACCAGCCACCCCTGTGCTTTGAGGCACAGCCATCGTCCTTGTGCATGTCCAGGTCAGAACGGTGTCCCAGGAAGCCATCCTTGATACTGGAGAGTCATCTCAAAGCCACCCACGGACAGTTGACCCGAGAACAAAGAGCAGACGTGGAAGAGGGGCTACCCAAGGCACGGACCCCTGCTGCCAAGGGGTTTCCGTAGTAGAAACCTGCGCTGCAGGGGGCTGGGGAGATCCTGGGCCATCTCCTCACAGGACCAGGGGGCTTTGGAAAGATGTGGGGCGCTTCTCAGGGGTGTCAGGACTCAACCCGTCAGTGGGCCGCTGCCCGAAGAGTAGGTGTTGACCGTGGGCGTCTTGCTCCATCTCGAAGAGCTCATACTCCACGTGGGGGAGCCTGATGCCCAGTGGCAAGCACCTGTTGGTGGTTGTGATGTCCCACTCGGTTCCCACGGACCAGGCTCCTGGCCCCCCGCAGCATGGCCGTGGTGACCAGGTCCATGGGCATCACATGGGCCCGTGTGACCTTGAATACCAGCTCAGTGCTGCCTCGGACCTGGGCAGATGGCATGCCCTTGGTGTAGTGGCCAGCGGCATAGATGGTAAAGTTGGGCTGCCGGCAGTCGGGGTCTGAGAAGTGGTGGTATTGCCCAGGAGCGGTTGCACCTGTGGAACGTGAAGAGCCTGGTGAGAAACAGCACCGCGGGCCGGGTCTCGCAGCTAGAGCTGACCCAGCGGCCCTGAAGATGTAGAGCTGTGGCCTGCTGCAAAGGCAGGATGGGAGGGTGGTGCTCGTCAGCCCGGGCCACCAGGCCACAGGCCAGGCAGGGGTGAGCGTGGTGCTGTCAAGAGAAAACAGAAAGGAGGTGGCTTTCCATGTGCAGGGTCCCTGCTGACAAGCTCATCACCAACCATCTTCCCTCCTTGAAAGCCCCCCCCCCCCAACAACATCTTGGCTTGGCACGGGCTGCTTTCTGTATCTGGCAGGCTCCCCCCTAGAACAGTGCATGACCGGCTCCTTCTAAGCATGCAAGGCTCAGCTCACCAGGTTCCTGTAGACGGCCCTTCCTGACTACCCCAAGTAAAGTAGTCCTCGGGCCGTTTCTTCTTTCCTTAAAAACAATTTGATTGCTTTGCCCTCCTTGATCTTATTGTTAAGAATATAGCCAGTAGAAAAACAGACACCAATTCAACTCTTTCTCCTCGCACCATCCAGGGACATTGATGACATGTTTCAGGTTGTGCCGCCACCCCCAACTCCCCTGTCTGAGTGGTCCCTCCCTGTGAGTGGCGTTTCCTGGCCAGCCCTTCAGGCTGCCGTTGCCCCCTGACCCTATAGAGAGTTCTTAAAGGAGCACAGTGCTTCAGGTCAATGGTCAGCACCACTTCAGCTGAGGAGAGCGTTTCCGTTTACTTGTATAGTCACGTAAACGAGTGTCTCAGGACATTAGATTTGGGGGTTCCATCTAGCCTCTGGGACTCGAGGAACTCTGGATTCCATGACCATTTGGATGTCATTTCTACATTCCCCCCTTTTGATCTATAGAACCTTAGATCTAAACATTCCATGAGGGTCGCAGGGCACCATTGCAGCCCTTCTGGTCTCCTGGCAAAGGAGAGGGAATGGAGGTTTCCAAGTGATCTTCTGGTGAAAGGGGAGCGTCATGCCCGCCACATGCTTGGAAAGCGAATGCGGCAACGAGAACCCCAAGCCGTTGAAATGTCCATGCCCTGAAAACCCCGCGGCTTAGCGCCTGCTGTTAAAGAGTCAGCCAAAGCATTCAAAAGAGCCAGAGCGCACAGATGTTCCTTGTAGGGTTAGTCACAACAGGGAAAGCGGCCACCCTCGAGTTGGGAGGCGTGGCCACTGTCTCCAGTCTTCGGATTGGGTTTCCTGTCCCTGACCCCGCTTACAGTCACCCCTGCCTGCCACATTCTCACGAGCTGCGTTTACAGTGTGAGAGGGTTGGTTAGCAGGAAACAGATGCGAGCCCAACCCACTGGGGTGTAGTTGTTGCATTTTGGAGAGGAAAGGCACAATGGAGGCCAAGAGGGAACCAGATACAGACATGTTCTAGTTTGTTTTCCTGACTGGCTGCCCAGGATCGAGTCCAGAGCCTCATCCTGAAAGGTCCAGGTCCCCCGAGACAGCCACCTGTCAAAGCAAGGCTGACGTGGGACCTGGCACCCATCTCTTGCTCCGGCCTGTGGGAGCCCCAGGGAGTCAGGAGAGGGGAGGGGCCCTACTGAGAACCCAGCTGGGGCATTAGCCCTAGGCTTTTCGTTCACATCACACCCCCCCAGCCCTCCCCTGCCCACCCCCCACAAAACAACGACAACAAAATTCCACAAGATTTCCCCAGATGACTGCTGGGTGAGAGTCATGCCAAACGCATGTTGTTTGGGAGTTCTGGCTCAGAAAGAAGCCATTCGAGGACAAACATTGGTGGTGGTGGAGGGATTGCTACCTTACATTGATTCCTGCGGGGAACCTAGCCTTTCCTTGCTTTTCCACCATAGAGAGCACCTGAGGAGAGGTGGCTTGGGGGACTGGGGCCGGAAGGGCAGGGCAGTCTATGGCCTCACACGGCCGCTAATTGGAAAGTGGGCAAAGGGTCTGCTTCAACACAGGCGTGGAAGCCACATTCTGTCTGCTGTCCCATGAACGAGCAGCGACCAGGCATGCTGCGTCACGCCCAAATCACCGCCCGGGCCGGCTGTCCTGAAATCAAAATCGAGTGGCAAACTAGAGCCAGCCTCTGCAGGGGTGCGCGACGACGGGAGAGACGAGGCGGCCAGTGGGAGACCGGGTGGTGCAGCAGTGAAGCGGAGGCCGGCCGTCTGAAACCAGCGCCCAGCTCCATTGGAGAAAGATCTGGCCAATGGCTTCCCCCAGAAGGATGAGAAACCCCACTGCCATTGAGTCGTTCCCACTCACCCCGGCCCCCCGGGCGCGCCAGGATGGCGCCACCGCGTGTCCCAGGCTGTAGATCTTTCCGGAAGCAGATGGCCTCCTTCTTCTCCCCTGGGAGCGGCTGGTGGGTTCAGCCCAACGCTTAACCCCCAGGCCCACCAGGGACCCTTCTGTAAAGAGGACCAGCTTAAAAAGGAGGACAGAAAGGCCAGAGGACGGCTGGACTCTGTCTCTTGGGGTGGCTCTGAGTTGGGACTGGGGTGCCAGCACCAGTTGTTTCCTGCGGAGCGGAAACAAATTGAGGGCCACGAGCTTCTGAGGGGAGAAGAGGCGCCGCCCGCTCTCCAGCACTTTCCAAGGGGTGCGTGTGCTGCCAGCTGTCTTCATCGAAGCTTCCCGGAGTCCTCCTGCAGAGCCTGGGGGCCGCAGTGCTAATGGCCACAGCTGCCCCCGGCAGCACTCACACTTGGGCTGGAGTGGCCTTGGGGGTCTAAGCCTGTTACATGAAGTTATTTCTCCAACAGCACATGACCGTCTCTAATTAACCCCCGAGGTGACTCTAGGCACAGATGATGTTGGTCAAGTGTCGACTGACTGATTAGAATTCTCTATCCAGCCAGTGAATTCGGGGATCAAATTGGTTTTAAATTAACTTCTAAAAATGCTCCTCTTTACCATCTGGTTTGGGCTGTGGGCACGGCGTGGGCACCGAGAGCAGAAGCTAATGACTATTTCGTTACTTGGGATTTGTCCTCAGCCCTGGCATCTTTGGAATTGTCCTCTCCCCCGCCCCCACCTTTGCTCTCTGGGGGTGGGAGTCCTTAATGTACCGGCTGCACATCTGGCCCTGTTTGTGTTTACACACCTCCCGGGTGGGTTTTGCTTCTCTGTCACATTTCAGACAGGATGGCCATTTGGGCTGGCCCTAGCAGACAGAGCGGGGACACCGTGACCCGAGAGTCCTGCCTTGGGAGACCCGGACCCCCCTCTCGTTAAGCAGGCCCGGGATGAACGCTAGGGGATGGCTACAGGGAGCCGTCCTGAGGCCATGAGCACTCTCAGGCGCAGTTTCTGATGAGGAGCCCTTTCTGTTGTCTTGGGTTTAAGTGGAGTGGGTCGGGGGCAGGCAGAGGAGTGGGGAGGGTGAGGTGGTGTCTCATCTCCATCACGGTCTCCTTGGGTTGCTTTGACAAGTGGCTGCTCCCCATCCGGGAGGCGTTGTTCCGTCGGGCTCGTGTCTAGTAGGCACTCATTACATGCTGAATGATTCAAGGGTTGCCTTAGGGCTCAAAAAACACTTGATAGAAAGGCCCAAACCCATCCTTTCATCAACCCATCTATCCCTCATCCCCTCACCCATCTATTCATCTATCCATCCATCCCTCACTCCCTCCTTCATTCATTCAGCCATATATTAATCTCTTCTTCCTTCCCTTCTCTCTCTGGCTCTCTCACTCATCCATCCATCCATCCATCCATCCATCCATCCATCCACCAATTCCTCACTCCCTTATCCATCCACTCTTCCCCGTGTTCTTTTTGACAAATATTCATAGGACGCAGAGTACACCCTGGGCGTCATCGTTGACCTCCAAACGCAAACATGAACAGTCTCGTGTGCGAATGGGGGCAGAGGCTCCCAGTGGCGCCCTCAGCCTCTCTGACTTCTCCACATGGCAGCAGACACCTCAGACCACCGTCACAGCATCTCCACACCTTGTCTGAGCTCATCAGCACTAGAAACGAGAGTGCAGGAGGAAGGACACCCGAGCATATTCCTAAATCTCAAGTGTAGCTTTCACCACTTGGGTTACTATTTCAATATACACTCCCTTCTCATTTGGGGCATTTCTGTTCTGTCAAACTGCGGATGCATTTGAATTGTGGTGCTGGTAAATAAATATTGAAGGTACCACAAACTGCTAAAAGGACAAACGGATCTGTCATGGAAGGAGGGCCAGAATGCCCCTCAGAGGCACGATGGCAAGACTTACATACTAGGCCACGTTGTCAGGAGAGACCAGTCCCTGGAGAAGGACAGCATGCTTGCTGAAGTGGAGGAGCAGCGGAAAAGAGGGTGGACTTCAGGACATGGATCGACCCAGGGGCTGTCACCACGGGCTCAGGCATTGGGACAATTGTGGAGATGGTGTAGGATGGGGCAGTGCGGCTTTCACTTGTGCGTAGGGATGCTGTGCGTTGCATCTGACTCGAGGGCACTTCATTAAGCTGCCCCAAACGCTGAATGGGTGAGCACCGAGCCACTGCTTTATGGGAAACCTAGGGCTCGGTTTCTATGAACCTCTGCACACAATAGTTTCATTGACTGATTGATATATGACCTCGTTTTCTGTGTTTCAGTTTAAATAACCCTTATTTAATCTTAAGGTGCCCTGGTGGCATAGCAGGGCACACACTGAGTTGCTAACGGCAAGGTCAGCGGTCCGAATCCCCCAGCTGCTCCGAGGGAGAAGGATGAGGCTGGGTGCTCCCGGAAAGGCGTACAGCCTTGGAAGCTCACCGGGACAGTTCTATTCTGCCCTCCAGGGTCTCCAAGAGAAAGATTAAGCTCTAGGGCAGTGGGTGGGTATTTAATACTGTCTTCAATTCGATTTCATCGGGCTGATTCACTGGCACTGACCGCGTGGCAGACAGCACGATCTCTCATGTCAAGAACCTGCTCTATCATGCATCTTCTGTCTGAGGCACCATCCGAGCTCCCTGTGCAGGGACCACGGGAGGCCCTCCCACACTCCCCTGGGGGCCGTTTCCAACTGTGAAATCAGCCAACAAAAACGTGAACCACGTGGAGCCAGCTGAATTGCAGGGAGCCCTGGTGGCGTAGTGGTTATGCATGTTGCTGCTAACCTCAGGGTCAGCAGTTCGAAGCCACCAGCCAGCCGCTCTGTGGGAGAAAGACAGCTTTCTACTCCCATGAAGAGTGACAGTCTGGGAACACCCGCAGGGCCAGTTCTACCTTGTTGTGGAAGGTCACTCTGAGTCGGCACTGACGCCACAGCAACGGTTCTGGAGAGCTCTCGGTGACGTAGAGGGTCACATGTGAGGCTGCTACCCCAAAGGTCAGCAATTCGAACCCATCCGCGTGGGGCGGGGGGAGGGAGGGGAAGAAATGAGGAGCTGATGCCAAGGGCTCAGGTGGAGAGCAGATGTTTTGAGAATGATGATGGCAACCAATGTACAAATGTGCTTGACACATGGATGTGTGTATGGATTGTGATAAGGGTTTTACGAGCCCCCAATACAATGATTAAAAAAAAAAAAAAAGATGAGCTGTCTCAGAAACCCACAGGGGCAGCTGCACGCTGTCTGGTAGGGTCTCTATGAGCCAGAATGGACCCGGTGGCAGTGAGCTTTGGTCACCCCTCCCTGTGGGCGCTAGTGAGACCACAGACAGGCAGTGTGCAGGGTGGCGTCACCGCCTCACATGGCCAGAGCAGCGGGAAGGGGCCCTTCAGGGACCCCTCCGAAGTGTGAGCTGGGGGAGGGTCAGGCGTGGGTAAGGCCGGCAGTGTCTGCTCCGGGGGTTGGGGGGTAGGGGTGGCGGGGGTCCGCCAGCCCTGTGAAGCCCCAGTAGATGCTGTCCCAAGCGTCAGGACCACCCAGCGCGTGCGCAGGGCCTGTGGCCTGCAGGGGCTGCGAGCCAGGCGAAGGGCAGAGGGGTGCCCAGGCCAGGCCCGTTGGGCGGGGGGACTCACCAGGGCGCTCTGCAGCCGGCGCTGGAAGCCGGTGGGCACCGCGGTAGTGCAGCCGCTCGGCGGGGGTGTGGACGTCCCCGCGGTAGAGCTCGTTCACGTGGTGCGGGTGCAGGCGGCGCTGCGCTCGGACCACGCTGAGCTCGTGCATGGTGAAGCCCAGCGCGGCGGCGCCGTCCGGCCCGGCCCGGGCGCCCAGCAGCTCGTGCACAGTCCCTGGCCGCCAGGTCTTGGCCAGGGGCAGCCTGCGGGCGCAGTGCCGCCGGGCCGCGCTTCGGCCTCGGCGCCCAGCCATGGCAAGCAGCGCGCCGCGGCTGTGGAAGATGGTGCCCACCTTGTGCAGCTGGTAGTCGGCCTCCGTGGCGCCCCGCGTGACCCAGGAGGCCCGGCGTAGCCTCACCTTGCCCTTGATCAGCAGTGGGTGTGCGGGCTGCCGGCAGGCCGCATCGCGTAGTGGAACTGGTAGGCGCGGAAGAGGCGGTTCATAGCGCCCAGGGCGAACCTCGCAGCTGTGGGGGGTGGGAGGTGGGCAGAACAGTGAGGCCCTGTGCCTGGGGGCCCTCAGTGGGGCCCCAGCGCCCAGCCTGTTTCAGTGGCTCCTCTCAGCTGCTGCAATTTTGGACCCCCGGCCTCCCACTCGATGCTTGTAGCCCCTCCTTTAATTCAGTGGACCTGACTCGATGACCCCTCTCCAGCAGACCCAACACCCTCCATGGGGCGTGGGTCCCCAGGGGTCCTCCTAGATTCCGTCTGGGCTTTGCCCTCGGAGGCATGGGTTCAAATCCCATCAGTGTCTTTCCGGGGACATTGAGTTGGATAAGCTCCAGCCTTTGGCTCCCTCCTCTGTGATACAGAGGTGAGGGACGCACAGCATGGTGTCAGGCAGGTGCAGAACACAGTGGAGGCTACTGGGAGATGCTAGAACCATTTGGGGAGCAGCTATTTTATGTGCTCCAAGAGGCAGGGGGACGTTCTGATTCTTCCCCCACAAACTCCAATCGCTTGGCACAGCCTGGTGCACCTCTTTGTGCGTGGGTGAGTGGACGATGGGTGGACAGATGGTCAATGGATGGGTGAAAGATGAGCGGACAACGAGGGTGAAGGATGGATGGGGGATGACGGAGGGACGTGGATGCACAGATGCTGATGGATGGATGATAAGTGGGCAGATGGGGAGTGAAGGATGGATGGATAGATGGCAGATGATGGGTGATTGATGGGTGGATAGTGGATGATAGATGGATGTTGGGTGGATGGATGGTGGATAGATGAATGATGGATGGTTGAGGATGGTTGAGTGGATGATGGATAAATGATGGATGGTGAATAAAGGATGGATAAATGCTAGCATATGGATAAATGAATGATGGATAAAGGATTGATGGGTGATGAGTGAATGATATGGTTGGATGGATGAATATGGGGGGATGGATGGATAATGGGTTTTGTATGGATGAATGAATCATGGATTATGGATTGATGTGTGATGATGGATATGGGTGGATGGTGGATGTTTGAGGATGGATGAATGAATGATTGATGGCTAGATGATGAGTATTGGAGGGATGAATTGATGGATGACAGATGGGTGGATGAGTGGATGGATGAATTATGGATGATGGATCGATGGATGATGATAGATGAATGATATAGATGGGTGGATGGTGGGTGAGTGGATGGATGGATGGCTGTTTTCAGATGAACGGATGGATGGATGAATTGATGGATGTCATTTGGATGGATGGATGAATTATGGATGTTGGATTGATGGGTGATGATGGATGAAAGATAGGGATGGATGGATGGATGGATGATGGTGGGTGAATGGTTGTATGTATGTTGGAGGATGAATGAATGAATGATGGTGGGTGGATGGATGGATGACTGGTGTGAATGGATGAATTGGTGGGTGACAGATAAATTAATGGGTGGTGGATGGGTAGCCGATGACAGCTGCTTATATTCTTTTTCCCCTTTTGACAAGTGGTAGGACCTTCTTTGAGGTAGGTTCATTCATGGGTGTGTATCAGGATTTGCTGTCCTAAGCAGGTTGTTCTGCATGCTTTCCATGTACATTAGGTCATAGACAGGTTCATCTTTGCAGGTCAAAGGTCCTCTGCAGAATGGCTCTGCCAGTGGAGTGCGAACGGAGCTGTGAGCAAGATGTCAATGAAGGGGTGTGCTTTGGTTCTAATAAAACTTTCTTTACAAAGACAGGCAGTGGGCAGGGCTTGACCCACAGACCCTATTCTGTAGGTTCTGCAGACAAGTACGGGGGAGAGGGGAGTGGGAGTGAGCGGCTCAGTGCTACCACAGCCCCATCGAGGCCGAGGGGGAGGGGCTCCCCAAGCCTCTCGGGCTTCCCAGTGCAGACTTAGGGTAGATGGGTGTGGGGACCAGAGCGGGTGGTGGTACTCTAACCAGATCCCCCACTCTTGTTGGCTTGGAGCTTTTCATACTAGGTTGCTGTAGCTGGGGAAACATGTGATCCCAGGGCTGCTAACAGGTACCTCAGGCTGAGAATTTACTTTTACTACCCAGATGGACTGAGTCAGAACCTACAGTTTAACAAGATGCCCCGGGGATCGGATGTGGACATGAGAAAGTAGATCCGTATTCCTTATATCCAGAGTGCCAATGTTAGCTCTCAGTGGGGGCGGGGGGTGGGTTGAACTGGGATGAAGCGGTTCGGTTCGAAACCCTGGTTACCTCGGAGAGAAAACAATTCCACCCCCTTCTCTTTCTCTTCCAGTTGGCCCGATTCTGGTATAGAGAAGGTCTCAGCTTGGAGCGAATGTGCCCCCAACGCCTCTAACCTCCCTCTTCTCCCAAAGAGCACACACAGAGAGACGGGAAATCGAGGGCGTGGGGGATTTCATTATGTTGTTCCCTTCCCCCCTACAGTCACTTCCTCTTTAGGGTTAGTGACCCTGCTATCCACTTCCAGGATGGCATTACGCTTCCTTTAAAAATCGTTACATCACAGCATAAACCCGAGTAGTTTCCTGGATGCCGATTGCACCCCAAGAAAGCTACAAGCTTGAATAGATCCGCCCACGTCCAGACAAGCAAGCTGGCTCCCAGGAAAGGGAGCCCGCTCAAGCTGCTGCCCAGTCTACTGTGGCTCCAGGTGGCTCTGGGCGGCCCCACCTCTGGGTCAGACCAGAGCTGGCCTGGGAGGGTTCCCAGCGGCTGGCTTCGCGGAAGGAGACTGCCACAGCTTTCTTCTGAGGTACCTCCGGGTGAACTCCAACCTCCGTGTGCTTAGCAACGGAGCATGTTCATCATCTGTAGCCCCTGGCGGCCCCACCCAGCAGAGCCATCACTGGCGCCCCCACGCCAGAGCCCTGTCCTGGCCCCATCTCTTAGATGAGACCAGAGAGGGCTCCTTGTCTCAGGTGCACTCTTGGTAGTTGGGAGTCCAGCCAGGGCTTTCCTCCAACTCCTGTGTCGAGCAGGCGTGGCCTGACAGGGCAGTCTGCCATCCCCCGGTTCTGTTTCCCAGGGTGGGGCTGCATGCAGCCCTGATGGCCTGGGAGCGGGCCAAGTGGCTTTGCGAGGTCCCCTCTTCCCCTAAGCACAGCAGATGTTTGGCAGGGATCCCCTCTGAGCTCAGAGGTGTGGGGAGGACATGGGTGTGCAGGACGCTGTCTTGGAGCAGAGAGCAGAGCCCGCAGAGGATGGGGGAGTGGGGAGAGGAAGGGCTGTCTTAGCAGGCCCCGGAGGCAGGCTCTACCCACTGACGTGGCCTTTGTGCCCCAAAATGAGGGCGGAGGCTGGTGCCTGCATCGCCGAGGGCCTGTGAGGACAGAGCAAGATGGAGTGACCCCAGCCCTGGCCTGGTCTGCCGCTGCCTGCTTCAGGGCCTTGCACCAGCTGCACCAGGCCACTCCTCAGGATGGCCACTTCCTTCTCGCTCAGCTCTCATCCCAAAGCCACTGCCTCCAGGAAGCCTTCCCTGCCCTCTCTCTAAAGAGCCCCCTCCCTGCCCTCTCTCTAAAGAACCTCCCCTCTCACCCCCTCTCACAGCCTCACTGCCATGGTTGGCTCTGTGCCTTCTCTCTGAATCTCCGTGCAGGTCCCTCTGTGCACTCCATGGTGGGTGCTTGATCAGTGTTTGCGTCGGAGGTGCTCAGGAAGTGTAGGTGCTTTGTCCGTGTTTGCACAGCAGGGCCTTGGTTTGTGGGTAGTACGTACTCAGTGCGTGTCTGTACCGTCAGTGCTTGCTAAGTGTCTGCGCAGTAGCTGCTCAGGGAGTGAGTGTACAGGAAGTGCTCAGCGTGTATGCAGTAGGTGCTCAGTAAGTGCACCGTCGGTGCTCGGAAACTCTTTGTACGGTAGGGGCTTACTGTTTGTTTTTAACCGCAGATACTCCAAGCGTGTTTGTACAGTAGGTGGTCGAGAGGGGAATGGGCACAATGCCCCCCAGCCCTGTCCCTGCCTCCCAGGACGCAAAGCTGTGTGCCTGCCTTGTGGAAGATCTCTTGAACAAGTGGATGAGTGGGCGTGCTCAGGTGACCCTGGGGTCTTACCCAGTGGAGATCCAGGGCCCGTGGATGCACAGGGGCAGCAGGGTGGTGACGTGTGCTCTGTCAAGCAGGGGCTGCTGACAGCGGGCCTGCCCGTGCAGGTGGGTGCTCCCTGTTACCACCTCCACCGTGTGAGCTGCAAGCCAGGCAGACCTGGTTAGACACCTGCCTGCCCAGCGGATGTCTCAGGCTGCCAGGACCCAGGGCTCTGCCTGTTCCAGGTAGGCCGAGAACACAGGTCGGTGGAGCTCCTTGGAATCCAGTCCCCTGACCCAGTTCTTGGACTCCAGGCTTAGATTTCTAGGATGGAAACCTCTGGGAATTAGATTCCTACGAACGATACCTGGACCTTTCACAGATTTGCCTGCTGGACCAGACTCCACCAGGGGAGGTGCTTGAGGGGGGTCTGCACCCCTAGATAAGTGCCCTTTAGCTCAGACTCAAGGAGCGGAATGTGGACATGGACCCTTCCCTAGAGCAGGACCCCTCCTGCCCAGGGGAGCCCCCACTTTGGTCTGAAGCACTCAGCTCAGGCAGACCAGGCCTGCTGTCCACCCTGGACAGCCCTGCGACCCACCTGTGTCAGGGCCACCGGCGTCAGCACTGAGAAGAACTTGGGGAGGGGCAACACGTGGACGGGGCATGGCTGGCGGGTGCCCAGGGCAGGGGAGAGGCCGGAAGAGGGCGACCATGTCCCTCCCTGGGAGCTTGCCTCTACACATGAGCATCCAGGGATGGCCCTGGGCCCTGGAAGGGAGGGGCAAGTGGGGTGGACTGAGCGGCAAGGCTCCAGGTCCTCATGAGTGACCCCAGAAGCCTCAGCCAACCCGGGGCGTGGGACACTCAGAGCCTCCCCGATGAGCGCACGCAGGTCCGAGTGCCAAGACCTGCAGCTGCCGAGAAGCAGCAATCCCCCCCTCCGGAAGGTCCTGTCCACTGAGGTGTGGCCCGGAGGCAGTGCAGACAGCAGATGCTGGGGAAGCAGCCGCTGTGTCCAAGCATTACGACTGCAGCTGGCTCGTGGGACCCAGGCCCAGCTGGCCGGGACATTCTGGTAGAGCCTTCCCCCGAGCCAGTGCTGAAGTGGGTCAGGAGGGCAGCACCTCTGAGACAGGCCAGGGGACCAGGACACTGCTTGCCTCCACCTAGAATGCTCCAAGTGTCGGTGGGCTGAGCCCAGAAGGGAAGGCATGCAGTGCCCTGCTCCTGCCCTGCACACACACAGCTCCCAGCCACGGCTCCGGAGGTCTGGGTGTCCGCACCTCCCTGGTGACTGGGGGTTGCCTCTGAGACTCTTAGGGCTCCCTGTGACCAGCAGAGAAAGCAGAAGGGATGCTGATGAAGGGAGAGGCAGAGGCTCCTGTTAGAAGAGTGTCAACTCCGTGCCTTTTACTACCCTGTCTCCCGTGTCCTTTGCCCCTGCCTCAGGAAATGGGTGTTTGTGTGTCTTCTCAAAGCAGGCACAGGTGGTGGTGGTGGTGGGGTGTTGGCTTAGATGACTCGGGCATACGCTTCCCATCAACAGGGCAGCTTGATTGCTGACCCTGTGCCAGATGGCATGCCCTTCCTGCGTTGGGGAAAGGTGCGGACTGGGAGACGTGGTAGATTGCAAGGCACGCTAGGCATCCCCTGAGTGCATGGATGGATAGATGAGTGGATGGATGGGAGGATGGATGGATGGATAGATGGGTGGATGGATGGATGGATGATTGGATGGATGGATGGGAGGATGGACGGTTGAGAATGGATAGATGAATGGCTGGTGGGAGAATGGATAAGTGGATGGATGGATGGATGAGTGAGTGGGTTGCAGGATGGATGGATGGGAAGATGAATGGATGGGTGGGAGAATGGATAGGTGGATGACGGGTGAATGGGTGAGCGGATGGATGAATGGATGAATGGCTTAGTAGATGGCCGGATATAAGGGCTGGGATAGCATCAGGTCTCTGCTATCTACCGAGCTTACCTACAACGGATCACCAACGAGGAGAGAGGCAAACACAAAACTGACACCAGAGCGGGGTTTCCTCCTGCCGGTAATGTGGATGCTTGAGCCGCTCCACGGGCTCCCAGGGCCCCCCGAGCAGAGTGAAGAGAAGGCCGGGACGACGTTGAAAAGGTGGACCTGTTTCGACTTGGACACACCTCGTTTTATAGAGACCTGAGCAGGACAGCGTCCCAGTGCAACTACTCCCGCCCCCTAGAGCCTTGAGCTGGGACGTGAGCCTCTTTGCACCAACCCTTCACACGCATCAGTGCTTCTGCGGCTGGCCTCGTCCAAGACCCTGGGTCCCTCCCTCAGGGCAGCTCTGCAGGCCGGTGTGAACGCCACCCAAGTGAGCTGCACTGCCCACCAGTGCTGGGATGGAGGCCCTGGAGAGGAGGATCGTCTGCCTGGTATGCATGTCCAGCCTCCATACCCTGGGACCCTGGAAATCACATGGGCCTGCTTCTGGAGGAAATGTCTTCATTCTAGAGAGAACAAACCTTCTTATGCTGCCCCAGGCCCCGAGAAGACACAGCCGTACTGCCGTGTCAAGGACCCCCGGCATTGTGTTTCGCGGAATGTGCTTCAGTTTGTCTTGTTTGGGTGGGGGTGGTTAACCCACACCGCAGGCTGAACGCGCGCGTGCAGACACAGCAGCCGGGGAAAGTGCCCAAACAGAAACGGGTGCGCGCAGTTCCTGGGTCATTCCCCCAGCCTCCCCCTCTAGCGAAATGAAGCAGCTAGCAATTATTCCACGGAATGTTCTCAGCTGGAGCCTTTGAGGTCCTCTTTGATTCCTGAGCCCCCTTTCCCCTTCCACCGACCCCCCCAACCCCAACCCCTGCAGAGGAGTTCCCTCGGGACAAACACCGATGGAGAGCGGATGCCCCTATGGGCTGGGCTGAGCAACTTTTTGCAGGGCCCTGGCAGAGGGAGTTGAGTGCATGGGCCTAATTGATTTTTATCACCTGAGGATTTTTAATTAACACTGGTGTCCACTTGCTGCTATCCATTATTTACTGTTTACCCACTAATTAGAAATGATGCTGCTTTTGCACTCACACGAGTAGGGACATTTGAAATTAGATCGCGTCGTTCAAATTACCTGCAGAATTAAATCCAGAGTGCTCAATTTCTCAATAAATGCCCCTGGGGCTTAAAATATGACCCAATTCAACCCGAGATGTGACTGTGACTCAGAGCCCCAGGACAGGGGGCCTGGACAGCATGTGGGACCTGCTGGGGACCTTCGGGGGTGCCCAGCGTGTGCTGAGCTTCTACAAAGTGTCGGGCCCTTGGCCAGTGTCATCTGGGGAGGCTGATGGCAGTGGCCAGCCTGTTTTCGGTCCTAATGTGTTAAGGGCTCTGTTGCACTGTGCAGGCCAGTCCTCCCAGCAACCCCAGGGGCATCAGCGGGCATCCAGTGCCAGCTGTGGCACCTGGCCATCTCCTTGCCTGACCGGTGGAGGCTGCACAACCACCGGAGTTGGAGGGGAGACCTCTGCCACTCCACTTTGCAGACAAGGACGCCGAAGTTCAGAAGTGCAATGAGCCTCTGCCAGGGCCTGGTACTTCTGAGCAATCTCATTTATTGTGATCAAAAAAGATGCCTCACCTGCGGGGTAAGCCCTGTACTGCCAAGCAGCCTCCCTAAGGGGAGAACGGTGAGGCTGTCTGCTCCCGTACAGGTTTAGAGCCCCGGCAACTCTCTAGAGTACCACAGTGACTTGATGGCAGCATGTTTTTGGCTCTGTTGTGTTTTTGTTGTTTTGTTGTGTTTTTTTGTCTAACATACTCTGGAACTATTACCCCGATATCATCTTTAAACCTTAAACCTAAAAGACTCCCCTCTGGGGATCTTAAAACCCAACTGTGGGCCAGTGTAACAAGCTAGCCCTCTGTCCTGATTATTGGGCTCCATTTGGAACTCTGTACGAGGGGCTTCGGAACGTTTGTGGGGAAATAGGTACGAGAAGATCAGGGAGGTTTCCCAGGAGCTCTTTGAAGGCCCCTCACCTACGGAAGCAGATGGACTGGAGCAACTTGAAAGATCAGATGGGAACCTTGGGGGCTAGTGGGCTTACGTCCATGGCAGAGGAAGAACTCAGACAAAGAGAGTGGACGTGGTTGTCCAACTCAAAGGACATCACTGGACATGCGTGTGCACATGCCTGTTCCCGTGATGGTTCCTCCTTCTTTAGAGGGGTATCCCAGTTCACAGAGGACAAATGGAGACAGGTTTCACAGCCAGGCCCGCAACCCCTGTCCCCTCCCTTTAAAGAGCATGAAGTTGGGAGCAAGGGGAACAGAGCCGGTTTTGGGGTTTATAGCCAGAGCAGAGGGGCACACATCAGACCCCAAGTCACCATTCACTTGGGGTAGAAAAGCAAACTAAAAGCACTGTTTTCCCTTATCTGAAATAGCTGACTGACGGTCTGATGCCACTTGTTATGCACTGATCTCAAACCAAGAAAACCCACTGCCACCCAGCTGATTCCTGTGCTTAGGACAAGCCTGGGCGGGACCAGGCTGGGCTGAATGTGATCTTAAAATGTGAAGACGTGTGAATGTATTTATTTGTGAAGTGAATGTATCCAGGAGGTCTGGTGGCTCCGGGGGTCAGCTGTTGGGCTGCAAAGGACAGGGTTGCTAGTTCAAATCCATCAGCCTCCCCAAGGGGAAAAGCTCAGGCTGTGCTCCCATAAGGATTTCCAGTCTCGGAAACCCCACCTTGGGTCCCTAAGAGTCAGAATGGACCGGACGGCAGTGGATTTGGCTCGGTGAAGTGAATGTGTCAGGGCTTAAGTGTAGTAACCGTGAAGGTGAGCATGTCTCTGTGGGCACGGATGGCTGCAGGGAGGTTCGCTATGAATGTATTTGTCTTTGTCCTCATTCACTAAAACAAAACAACCGACTGCCATCCAATGGGTTTCGATTTGCCGTGACCCTGGAAGGGCCGACTAGACTTGCACCCAAGGCTCTACAAGACTAAAACTCTTGGCAAGAGTAGAATGCCTCATCTTTCTCCTGTGGAGCAGTTGGTGGTTTTGAACTGATAACCTTGCGGTTAGCAGCACAACAACCAACCCACAATTCCACCAGGGCTCCTTCTTAGTTTCATGAGGCTTCCTTAAAAAAAAAAAAGG